TCGGGGCAACCACTTGCCTCAGCGGGCTCAGAGGTGTTGGCCGAATGGGAGGATTTCAACTGGTGGGCCCGCTAAGTAGTCCACTGGTGTTTCCCCGAAGTCACCTGGGTTCGGATGCTGAATTTCAGTGGTTGGCTTCATCAACAACTGTGCAGGGAAGGGCATCCAAGTAAAATGAGAGACTGATTTGGGCACGTCTTGAAATGAGCAAACTTGCTCTAGGGTGTCACGTTGCCAAATCCTTGCCTGCGAGACCTTTGTCCTTGGGTCAGGCCCGGCCATGTTTATATTTGGTTTGTTGCTGAACTGGTCGATTGCTTGGATTGGTCAGCCAGTTGCCTTGTTGGTGGCTCAGGCGGTCGGGCGGTCTGGGTGGGTGGGGTGGGTGGGTGGGTTGGTTGGTTGGTTGGTTGCTTGGTTGCTTGGTTGCTTGGTTGCTTGGTTGCTTGGTTGCGGTCGGTCGGTCGGTCGGAAAGTTGTAAGGTTGGCCGGCACGGCGAGGTGAAATGGGGCCCATGCCTCCTCGTTTCAAACCGCTTGGCACTGATCTGTCAGAGAACTGCATAAGGAACATATCACATGTTTGCCCTGTGGGGGAGTCACAAACAGCCAGCTCAAAACTCTCCCTGAAGCCGCTGTTGAACCCCCAAACCTGGCACAAATCATCCCCGAGCCAACCCCAACCCGCAAGTCAACCCTGGCAATCAGCAGCCGTGGAAATTCCGGCATAAGACTTCAACGCTCAAACGCCTCTGAAAGATCAACAAGCTGTGCCGAGACGGCCGCAACTTGCGGCTTCCCAACACACTCAACAAGTTTGCGCTGGGTGCAGAAACGAGGCAACACCGCAGCACTTCATCGAAGGTGGCACGAAACTTCAAACAACAATTGAATCAACGAGCCCCTTTCGGTCGTCCGTGGCCTGATGCGAGAGCCATGTTGGCGTACCGCTTCGGGCCGGCGTCTCCGGCGCCTTCCGCGCCGCCTTTCGCCGCGGCGACTGCTTCCGCGCAGAGCGAGGCTTCCGCCACTTGACACGCAAAACCTTCGAAATACGGGACCCCCCAAAATGGGTGTGCCAACCCCAAAAAAGGGGCTCCCTGAAGGCACACCCGTGTGGCAAAACAGAGGCAATGAGGAAAGGGGTTTGAGATGAGATGGTGGAGTGACGGCTTTCAAGGCAGCCAAAAGAAGCGTGGACGCTCCAGGGTTCTGACTTATGCGGGGTTCCGCCTGAACACCAAGTTCCTGATAGTGTTTGGATTCCGAAGAGTCAGGGGTGCTGAACCTTGCGTGCGTTTGTGAGAGCATTCCCAACACTCAGAAGATTACTGAAGCAGACTATCTGATATTTTGGGTTCCCTGAGATGCTCAAGTTTCGCAGCCTTGAATGTGAACCAAAGGCCAAACATCGTAAACTAGCACCGCTTGTTGCTCAGGAGTGGGGGCTGAAACGGCTGCCCGTTTCAGCAGCCATCCTGGTCGTTGCTGCTCGGAGGTGTAGGCGCCCTGGACAGCCGGGATATGGCCATTGTAAACCCGTGTTGGTTGCATTTAATGGAAAACCAAAAAGAAGAGGGTTGTCACCTCTCAGGTGTTGGACCAATGATTTTGATGATACTTGTAAGTTGATTCCGCAGTTGGAGTGAACTCGTTTCCCTTTGCGCCCCAGATGCTAGGGGACAATGCTGTTGCAACTCGAGCTACAATCGAAGAGTTTGCAATACATGATCGCAGGCGTAGAGCCCAGCTTACTTGGGCTCGGAGCACTCCGGAATCCATCTCCCTGACCGGCTTCTGTTATTTTGGTTCCAGTGGCTTTTTCAATTCTGCGAATGCTGCACACCATTGATCGATAAAGCAGCTGAATCATGAAGGGACTCTCATCACCTTGGGTGCTGCCTGGGAGAATTGCATTTGTTTTGTTGTGGGGTTGTGTGCCTGCACGACGCACAGTTGTTCAGCAGATTCCACGCCTTCGTGGGGGGGGGGGGGTCGCTCTCCACAAGCACAGTAGGTTCGGGGCCAGGGCAAATTGATTTGCCGACCTTTGATAGCCTCCCCGGCGCCAATTCATGGGCTCCGTCGCACTACCTTTCGGGGAGGAGCATACCAACCCTGGTTCCGATACGTTTGATACGTTCAAATTTATGCCACCATTCCCACTAGGGTTGCCTGCTGGTCAAAGTCAGCAAGCTCAAGCCATTCAAGCTCCAGTGTCGCCGGGAGATGAACAGATTTGGAATTCCGGTGGATCCCAGCCCGTCGCATTTGGTTTTCTGCAGTCAGGGACCCCTCTTGAAACTCGGCAGGAACTTGAGCTGTGCAATGGTCAACCATTTGCACAAGCAGTAGCAGCTCACCTGGGGGTAAGCAGGCTCATCGCTGAGGAAGGCTTCCTTGCCGTGGGATGCTCTACTTCAGATTGGGGAATTCGAGTGAAGTCATGATTGGTGAACTGTGAACCTTTTGGAAGTGGATTTCTGTTAAGGTCTTAGGGCCAACAAGCTTAAGCCATTTCTTCAGCCCGTCGCAGGCCAGCCCGGCGTTGCCCGCTTTCCGCGCGAGCGGCTTCGGCGACGTGGCAGGAGCTGAGGCGAAAGCTGAGGAATCCAAGCTGACTTCGCGGTCAAGATCCCGACTTCTGGTGTGCGTTTTTTCAAGCATGTCGGCATCCTCGATTTCAAGCAACACCTAGAAAGGTGGCTGTCAGGAAGTATCAGAATTGGCTGGCTTCCAATTGCGAACCCCTTTGTGCAGAGACTCCAAAGGTGGGCGCCATGAACCACGGTTCCAAGATGGGCACATATTGTGCCAACTCAGCACGTTTCACAAAGGGGATGCATGGCCAGCCGAGAGAAGAAACCTGGACTAGGGTTTAGGGTGGGTTTTTGGTGGTTCACGGAGTGTCGCTTGTTGCTTGTTGGTAACAACGCAAGCCAACCTGTCCGAGCGGCAGGCAGACACCTCCAACCGAAGCCAAAGCCTGCGCCGGTTGGGGATGCCGATGCGGCGACGGACCCTATGCCTACCAGACAAGCGAGGAGAGGGAAATGGGACAGATTATATAGAATGACAACTTTAAAGTCAGCAAGCTGGCCAAACAAAGCCAGTGCAAGATTAGGAAGCTAGTTGTGGCCAAGCCACTTCTGCTGCCGCCACAGGTCTCGTGCACGTTGAAGCCGTTGTTAATCTTGCCATCATGATCACCCCCTCTCGCTGCAATTCACGAGGCATCAAGAATGGCAGTGGCTACTAGATTCCTTTTGCTGTCATATTCCCACGTGACTCCACCCTTAGCAACAGCTATGAGCCGTTCGAATCGGCAGCCCCTGGAACAATTACTTTTGAACGGACCCTTTTTAGGTTGCATGTTGGTTCTTGGGTGGACAGATGGGGGTTCCGACGGGAACCATCCACCCTTTTGCTTTGAAATCCACCGAGGGACCGTTCCACATGTTTAAGTTGGGTTCTATTTTGAAAGAGCTTCTCAAGTAAGCCCAGGCAATCGACATGGGCACCCGTCAGGACTTTAAGAATCACCCGGCGGTTCGCTCGCTTACCGCCTGGTGCCGCAGCTGGGGGCTTCCTCCCATAGAGACGACGGCCTTGGACCCGGAAGGCTATCGCACCCGCGGGAAGATGCCGGTAGGCCCGGGCGTTACACGGATCGACGGGAGACCCACTCCATGGCAGAATGTCGGCAAATTGGCCAACGCAAAGCTAGTCCGACCTTTTAAGTTGAGCATGTTGGATTGGTTGCGACGGCATGTTTTGGCATGGGATGTCGTGACCAGCATCCTGATTCCATCTGACTTGCCGATGGCACGGAATTTGTGTGGCCTGCCGACGCAAGGCGCTGAACATATCGCCCCAGGAACAAAGCAGTGGAATCCACCCAAAAGAATGTTGACTTGCCTTTTTGCCAAGTTGCCCATGCCCATTGAGGTTGGAGAGAAGCTGAGACTTGTCATGCAATTACGCATTCATCGTTTTCTTCCGGGATGCGTCTGTTCTATGAAGTTATATAATACCAAGTGCCCCGCAACCTCGGCGCAACCATTGAGGCATTATTTGAGCGGATTTGGCATGTGGCTTTATCCGTGCGGAGGAACATGCCGCAAAACTTAGCGACCAACAACAATTCGGAAGAACTGTTGGGCTTTTCTGTTGGTTTCCCGAAAAGTTCGATGGTTTTCTGTGGGTTTTCCTGTTGGTTGCCCGAAAAGTTCAACGCGTTCGTGTTGGTTTCCCAAAAAGTTCAATGGTTTCCACAAAGTTTGGATGATTGGCTTTCCTGTTGGGTTCCTCCAAAGTTTGATGGTTTCCTGTTACAGTTGGTTTTCCTGTTCTTTTTCCTGTTGGTTGCCCAACAAGTTCAATCGTTTGCCTGTTGGTTTGCCTGTGGGTTTCTCAATATTTGAATGGCAGGAATGGCAGGGGTTTGCCTGTAGGTTTCTCAAAAAGTGAATGGCAGGTGAATGGCGTCCCTTTGGTTTTCCTGCTTGTTTCCCAAAAGCTCAATGTTTTCCAAAAAGTCCATTGGTGTCCTGTTGGCTTTCCTGTTGATTTCCCGAGAATTTTACTGGTTTCCCGTTGATTTTCCTGTCGGTTTCCCGAGAAGTTCAATGGTGTCCAGTTGGTTTTCCCCGAAAGCATTGCAAACGGTTCTTCCGAAGAAATCGCTGGCTAACTCGCACGAGTTGTACGAGCACACTCACGTGCATGGGAAAACTTGCACGAGCACACTTGCACGAGCACGATCACACTTGCATAAGAAAGCTTGCACGAGAGAGTACAATTATCTTTTAAGGCCGTGGCCGGGCCCACTCTGCGAAAAATGACGCCCTTTGCGAGGAGTAGCGTGGTCGATCTGCAAAGGCTGAGGGTCGATGAACGAACTAAAAACTTTTGCCACGTTTTGAGGTGTCCGCGCAGCCCTCTGCGGGTATCGGCGTGGTCAATGTGCAAAAACTGAGGGCTCTTTCTACTTTTTGATTTTGCCGAGCAACCCTCCGTGGGGCTCCAGCCGAGCAATTTCGCAGACCAACTTGCAGAGAGGACTTGCGCAGAGCAACGTTCAAAGAACACTTCTACACAGCAACTTGCACATAGCAGCTTGCACAGAGCACTTGTGCAGAGCAACTTGTGCAAAGTTCAACTTGCGAGGAGCGGTCGCACAAAGCAACTTGCAACTCAAAGAACACTTCCACAGAGCAACTTTCATGGCTCTGGCTCAGACTGCCGACAGTACCGGCCTGCTGTCTAATACGTGTCGTAAAAGTACAGTCCGTCATTGCAAATCGCTGTTTCTCCATGCTGAAGGTGCATCAAAGGTACAAAAGCAACACCAGAACAGGCGTAGCAAATTGTGTCACAAGAGGCCACGTTTCATGCAGCAAGATTGTCATCAAGACGTTTTCAAAAAAAACAGATGAAAAGAACAGCAGAAAAGTACAGAGTGGCGGGATTACATTTGCAATACTGTTCACTCATAATATTTTGCTCCAGCACATGCAAAACTCAGCAGCGAGGAAGAACATTTCTCTTGATTGCCCCTTCATTTCCCTTCACGTCCACTTCGTGTCCCTTTCATGTTCCAAAGCATTTTCTCATTCATGTCCTCTCATGTCTCCTTCATCGCTGTATTTCCCTTCATTTCCCTTCCCTTGATTTCCCTTCATGTCCCCGTCATTCCCCTTCATTTCCCTCAAGTTTTCACGGATTGTCGTTCTGATGATATGGATGATTCTGGTCATGCTGGTGATGTTGCACTTGCGCTGCTGAGGATGTAAAGGTGATGCTGGGAATATTGGCCAGGGACCCGGAAAGACCAAGGTTTTTAGGCAAGCGTGCCTCCTCCTTGTATGAACGGTTTAGTCTACAAAAAGGACGGCCACCCCCCCTCGGCAAAGTCCAGATTCGCCGCGCTGGGGAGCAGACTTGCGCAGAGCGCTTGCGCAGAGCAACTTGCGCAGAGGACTTGCGTGGAGCAACTTGCGCAGGCGCAACCTGCACAGAGCACTTGCGCAGATCAAGTTGCACTTGCACAGAACACTTGCACAGAGCACTTGCGCAAAGCAGCTTGCGCAGCAGACTTGCGCAGAGCAACTTGCACAAAGCAACTTGCGCAGAGCAACTTGCACAGAGCAGCTTGTGCAGCAGACTTGCGCAGAGCGCTTGCGCAGAGCAACTTGCGCAGAGGACTTGCGTGGAGCAACTTGCGCAGAGCAGCTTGTGCAGCAGACCTGCGCAGAGCGCTTGCGCAGAGCAACTTGCGCAGAGGACTTGCGTGGAGCAACTTGCGCAGGCGTAACCTGCACAGAACACTTGCGCAGATCAAGTTGCCGCAAGCACCTGCGCGGAGCAACTTGCACAGAGAGCACTTGCACAGAGCACTTGCGCAGAGCAGCTTGCGCAGCAGACTTGCGCAGAGCGCCTGCGCAGAGCAACTTGCGCAAAGCAACTTGCGCAGAGCAACTTGCGCAGAGCAGCTTTTGTGCAGCAGACTTGCGCACGGCGCTTGCGCAGAGCAACTTGCGCAGAGGACGTGCGTGGAGCAACTTGCGCAGAGCAGCTTGTGCAGCAGACTTGCGCAGAGCGCTTGCGCAGAGCAACTTGCGCAGAGGACTTGCATGGAGCAACTTGCGCAGGCGTAACCTGCACAGAACACTTGCGCAGATCAAGTTGCCGCGAGCACCTGCGCGGAGCAACTTGCACAGAGAGCACTTGCACAGAGCACTTGCGCAGAGCAGCTTGCGCAGCAGACTTGCGCAGAGCGCCTGCGCAGAGCAACTTGCGCAAAGCAACTTGCGCAGAGCAACTTGCGCAGAGCAGCTATTGTGCAGCAGACTTGCGCACAGCGCTTGCGCAGAGCAACTTGCGCAGAGGACTTGCGTGGAGCAACTTGCGCAGAGCAACTTGTGCAGCAGACCTGCGCAGAGCGCTTGCGCAGAGCAACTTGCGCAGAGGACTTGCGTGGAGCAACTTGCGCAGGCGCAACCTGCACAGAGCACTTGCGCAGATCAAGTTGCACCTGCGCAGAGCAACTTGCACAGAGCACTTGCACAGAGCACTTGCGCAGAGCAGCTTGCGCAGCAGACTTGCGCAGAGCGCTTCCGCAAAGCAACTTGCGCAGAGGACTTGCGTGGAGCAACTTGCGCAGGCGCAACCTGCATAGAGCACTTGCGCAGATCAAGTTGCACCTGCGCAGAGCAACTTGCACAGAGCACTTGCACAGAGCACTTGCGCAGAGCAGCTTGCGCAGCAGACTTGCGCAGAGCGCTTCCGCAAAGCAACTTGCGCAGAGGACTTGCGTGGAGCAACTTGCGCAGGCGCAACCTGCACAGAGCACTTGCGCAGATCAAGTTGCACCTGCGCAGAGCAACTTGCACAGAGCACTTGCACAGAGCACTTGCGCAGAGCAGCTTGCGCAGCAGACTTGCGCAGAGCGCTTCCGCAAAGCAACTTGCGCAGAGGACTTGCGTGGAGCAACTTGCGCAGGCGCAACCTGCATAGAGCACTTGCGCACAGGGGTTCGAGCGCCTGCGCAGAGCAACTTTCAAAGCACATTTCCGAAGAGCTTTCGCGCAAAGCAACTGGCAAGCTTGCGCGAGCAAAACTCGCGTGAGCACACTTGTGCAACGCGAGAGTTTGAGATTAAAGCTTGCCCTCCAGCGCCATCGCAGGACTCCATATCGTGCACGAAAGCACAGACCGCTTTTGACATCATCAAAATTTCGACGCGCGTGCGCAAAGTTCAATGGTTTCCTGTTGGCTTTCCTGTTGGTTCCCCGAAAAGTTTCGCAAGGGGCGCCCCTACCATTGACAGCCTATCGAATGCCAGGGCCCGGGGGCTCCGGACCCGTGGTGGGCCTGTTTAAGCGCAGCACCTGGAAGGCACGGCCGCGTCAATATGTGGATGTGCACATGTGTTTATGCATGTGCACGCACGGCGTTCAAACATGAACGTTACACACACACACACACACGCACGCACTGATACACACACACACACATGTGTATGACTCAAGGTGCGGGCCCTCTTCTTGTTGTTTTCTCAGCCCTAAAAGGTTTTGTACCCCATTTGCGGGTGATTTTGCGAAATGGTAGTTCATGTTTGTTTGTTTTGTGAATCGGACAAAATTTGCAGCTGATTTGTTTGGCTTTTCCGGGGATCGCGTGGAAAACGCAGTGCTTGGCTTGTGCCTCTTTCTGGGATGAGCGCAATCCACCCCTTGAGGCGCAAAAGGGCTGTGGGCAAATGTTGTTCAACTATTTCCGCACTGGCAGTTGCCCACGGCCGATCTTTTGGCGGTCGACTGTTACTAACGGCTCCAACCATTTAAGGCTTCTGGGCGCAAACCAGTGCGGTTCATGAACACCCGTGTTTACAATAGACGATTAACCGGGGATTCATAAACGGGGCAAGCCAGCCTGCCAAACCAAATGCGCTGCAAGGCCTCTGTGTGTTTCATTGTTTGTTTGCTTGTTTGCCTGCTTGCTGGTTGACCGCCCTGTTTGCTGGATCCCCCGTTGAGGGCCGTTGGGGATCTCTTGAAAGTCCCCCCTGAAAGCCGGCATGAAACGTCACCAGGGTTCTCAAAAGGACCCTTCTAGACAGACTTTTGTCAACAAAAAACACAATTCAGACAACGACGGATATCCATTGGGTTTGCGCCTTGAGAAGGTGGTCCCAGTGGCCGGCTGTGCTGCAAACCATCCGCGCCTGGTGGCTGCCGTGGAGTCCATCGAAGAGGCCCGAAAGTCTAAGGCCTAGAGGCCCAGGGTGCGGTGAGTTGAGACATTTGATTCTCGCAGTGGGAGCTGGATTTCAGAAAGCCCGACGGATTCCTTTGGTTCCACCTCAGCATGTGGGCTCGAGGCTTGCAAATGACATTGACTGAACATGTGTCCACCAGGGGTAGATCTGCAACAGGTATTCCATTCGGCCAGCAGTTTGTGGCGTATTGAAAAGCTTGCCATTCGCTCCTTACACCGTACTTGGCGACGCTGTGCAAGTTTGAGTTGAAGAATTGGGCAGGGAGGCGGTGACTTCTGCAGGAATCATCATTGTTTTTGTGCCCGGCATCCAAGCGAGGTTCAAAAAAGGGTTGCAGCACATTTGGGGAAAAACAAATCAATGGATGTATCCATTTCAGCACACATTAACGAGGTGACTATGTTTCTTTCTAACTGACTTCCCTTTTTGTGCAAGAAGTGTGTATTGCAACATCTGAAACACATTTATGTTTCAACAACCAGTGAAGCCGGCCAAGCCGGTGGGGCTTGCATCATTCGTCCAACATGTGGTTGTTTGTAAAAAATAGATCAATAATTGGGATGCATGGGCCTGTTTGTGGACACACGATTAATATGGTTTTCTGAACTTCGTAGACTGCGGAAATGACATGGGTTGACGCGCTGAAGAAGCCCTACAATGGCCATGCAAGCGGGCGGCAAAGGTTCAGCAACGTAGCACACACACACAGGGACGTCCTGTTTCCCATTCGCATGTTCCTGTGTTTTTCAAAGACAGGCCCCTGTGTTGCCCAACCAGCGGGCTTTTGTGTTTTGAGCATTTCCAGGCGATTCATCCGTTTCAAACCGCTCGTGCCAGCATGGGGATAGCCGACTTGGTGGTTGGTTGGAGCAAGGAGAATGCGCAAGCAGTTGGCGGACATGAAGCCCCAATGTCCACCAAAGGGTCCCCAATTTATTGGTTTGGTTGCGGAGAAGCATTTAGTTTGCATTCCACGCCAGGCGGTGCGGGCAAATGGGGTCCGCGCCTTCGACCACGACGGGGCGGCGCGATTCGCACTGCGGCAGCAGGCGCTGAGATTCGTGGAGCTGACGTTGGAGCGGCGCAGCGGAGCCTTGCCAACTGTTTTAAATGGAGGTTTCTCAAAATGGGATTCGGACATTTTTGTGGATGGTAAAGGGAAACCATAAGGAAACCACCCCACCTAATATGTAGTCACCGTTTTGAGGACCCAAATGGGTTTTAGGGCTTAGGGATAAGATGATGTGAAGGGATAACATGCTGGTTGATATGATTGAATACCCAAGCCTTCTAGTTAGCCACCAGTTTGGTTTCCTAGTCCTGACCTGGGGTGCCGGCGCATTGTTGAGAAACTTCAAGAAGGTCCAATCAGCCCCAGCCAGTTGCCCAGTTGCCAGCCTCACGGGATTGGAGCTGATTGCAAGCCACAAAGCAAGCTACTCAGCAGTACGTACATGCCACTGTATTCCTGCGGTTCCCGATGGAAAGTATTGCGACTTGTTTGTTGACCGTAAGTCGTCCTGAGCAAAGTGGGAAGAAAAGAGTTGACCCTTGGTTCTCTCCTGACCTTTTGCACTTCTTCTAGGGAAACCTCTGCTGACTGTCGCATGCACTGGGCGCCCGGCCCAGAGTGTTGTTTTCCCTAGTGTTGGTGGGCCAGATTGCCGTCCCGCAAACAGCAGGTGCAGCCAGCAACCCCATCCCAAACAAGCCCCGGGGTCAACCTTGAACACAATTCGCACTAAATCTCAACAAGACCCAAGCCAAACCCTCAGCAAATCTTCCAGGAGGCTGTTAAGTGCTGTATCCAGCACGTGCTCCTAGAAGGCTTAAGGATTGGGCCTTGATCAAGCTTCTTTGGTTTGGTGTGCCGCCTCATGGACTGGGCTGCCAATAGGAGAAATGCTGAAGGCTAAGCAAAGGCAGACAAGTTTGGACTGAAGTTGGATATGGTTTACTGCGGTTTACTGTGTCCAGGCTTGATTGCCTGTGCTCCTTTTCTCTTGTTTTGTCAAGCCCGCTTGGTACTGAAGCACCCTTGGTTGCCTGAAAGACATTGAGCATATCATGGTATAGTCAACTCTTAAGGAACATCTCAGCTTGTGGGGAAAGCTGGCCATAGCTCCCAACACCCACTGAGCGGGAACACAGTTTCGACTTCGTACCAGTAAGTTTGGCAGCTAAACAGCCGCCGTACAGCGCCTGCGGCTGAGGCTTGGTGCAGCTAGTTCTTGTGACTTGGCAGCATCCAAACTAGGAGCCCTTGGGAAAGTCGCTCCTTTCGGACACCAGCGTGCCACCTTCGCAACTGGGGCGGTTTCAGTTTTGACACACAACCATCCTTCAATGTCAAGATGATGCATGCTGTGGCTCCTTGCCAGTGCTTCTGCAGCTGCTCCGGACAAACATCGCTGTGAGCTACTAGGAGTCATCGTTTCCCTGGTATATACTGTTCTTTGTTATTTGAGCGGATGCTTTTCATGCCATTTCGGCGTAATGTAGATTCACTCCTTGCTTGATTTGTTTACTGTTTCATTGCTTTCTCCAATCGGTCCTCCATGGCTCACTTCTTGTGTCCTCCATTCATTCATGGGCGCAGACGCCAGCTTCCCCCCCCCCTCGTGTTTCAGGTGTAAGAGCGCCAATTTGCATTTGAGCGCCATACGAAATGTGCTTCAACTCTCTTGAGCTCCCTTTAATGGCACGCATATGCAAAGCCAGCTCTAAGGCTAGATGGTGGATCGTTGGTTTTGGTTTGTTGATCCAGGACAAATAGAAGTGACCATCTTGAACAGTCAAGTTCCTAGCCAGGAAACCATGACAGTGGCCAACAGATGAAGTTTCGACTGCGCATATCAACATCACTTGAGTCAGGGCCCTGTTTACACAAATCAGATCGAATGCGTCGGCTGCAAGAAAATTACACGAATTCGAACCATGAGCCAGTAGCACGGGAGTTGACAGTTCGATGGAAGCAAGCGTCCAGGTTGCTGTTTTCAACGACTCAGTTTGTTGGATAATGGTTCAAAGCAAAGACAAGTGTGGCGAAGCCAAGTTTGAATTGGACAGGCTGCAACACCACTGAGCCTGTAAGCCGACTCGGCACTTTGGAAAGAAGAAGTCATTTGAGCTAGAGGGCGAGAAGCAAACTGTCTAAATGGATCTTTTGGTCAGGGCTCCCTCCATCACTTGACGAACTAATGATCCGCTTAAGTTTCCCACAGCTGGTTGACAAACCCGGCTAAGCTAAGCAAGCTGTGACCCTTTTTGGAATAAGTTTTTTGAGGTGGCAGTGGCTTGCGCGAATTCCCAGCGTCCACTGTTTTTGGCAACAAACACCGTGCAGGGTGTCCAGTTGTTTGTGCCAAGATGGTTCTTGGAGCATTTCCCTTTGTTTCGGATTGGCCTCTGCAGGAAACGACAGACCTAGGACCATGGTCGCGAGTTCGCTTTTCTCTCATTTGCATCTGACGATAGGTGCTGAGTAGTTCATTACACTGAATATATGGTGGCTGTCGACTGTCGAACAATAGGGACTCTTCATTGGTCTTTGTCATTTTGTGATGCCTTAACAAAGGAACCCCAAAGTTGCTTGGTCACATTGGGTGTCCCTCGCATCAGATCGGGTTCTCATGCGTCGCAAATTCTTGCTGGGGATGCAACACGCAACAAATGAGGTGAAGGAAGTGTTTCCTTCACCTGTCTAATTGGCAATCTCTAATAATCTCACAATCAGTGTTTAGGGTTTGAACCCGCATGGATGAAGGTCCTTTTCTTGGGAGGTTTTCGGCTCAGACCGGCACGTGGTGACCTAGCAATGCGTCTCCCTCCAACCGAGCGATGACATCCCCAGTCATCTACCTCTTCAACCAACATAGGTGTCACTTTGCCAAGCACGCAAGTGTGCCTGGCACTGCTGAGTTGGCATTCTGCGGGGATGTCTCTGCTGATCGAGAACGAATCTTTCGCTCTTGTCCTGGATGTTATCCCCTCTCGAGTCCGTGCATGAATTGCGGCCTCCAGGTCAAATCTGCGTGCTTCATAGTGCTGCTTCCTGGATGGTTTGTTGATGAAATCGACTATTATGGTGAAGCCGCCGTGGTGGAAACATTGATGTATGCTTCCATATGCTTCCTTAAGAAGCACACTTCTGACCTCATGGGTCGACTACAGAAGCTGGCCATGGGTTCTTTTCGGATCAGTGTGCCCTGTTGAGGCAAGTATGGATTCCTTATATACCCGGTTCTCCATCACAAGAAGCGTCGAGGTCCTTTTCTTCTTGTCTCAGGGGGTCTTTCACTGAGATGCAGCGCTTCTTGAGGTATGGAATGGCACAAAGCAGGCGCTCGGGAAGGGGGCTTCCTGGGTGCCCATGGATTCCTGCGCGCTTCGAAAGGAGGTTCCTACGTTAGAGCGCAAAGGCGATGGGTTGATCAGCCGATGGGTGATTGACAATGTTGGAATGATTAGTAAACCCTTCCCCCTTTTCAGGGTGGACAGGGCGTTGGGAACCAGAGTTTGGGGTCGTCTGGGGCTGGAAGGCAAAGGACATTACAATTTCGTACTTTCCAGGGCTGGTGAGGGACTTGACTAAGAAGAGGGGGGTTTGCGTTTTTTTAGGGGCACCCTTCCCCCACGTGTCAAAATTTGTTTTCCCGGCTAGCCGTTTTGCGTTTATTTTAAACGCCTCCGGCTCAGGCCGCCGACATTACAGGCCTGCTTTCTTATTTGTGTCCCTTTGGAATTGTCCCCTTGCCCCCCTTCCCTTCTAAGATCTTTGCCCCCCTCTTTCCCTGTTGAGATCCCCCCTAAGGCCTTTTCCCCCCCTGAGATCTTCTCCCTTTTCCTCCCTAAGATGTGTTCCCCCCTTTCCCTGCTGAGATCCCTTTCCCCCTTTCCCCCCTAAGGCCTTTTCCCCCCTGAGATCTTCTCCCTTTTCCTCCCTAAGATCTTTTCCCACCTTTCCCTATTGAGATCCTTTCCCCCCTGTCCCCCCTAAGGCCTTTTCCCACCCTGAGATCTTCTCCCTTTTGCTCCCTACGATCTTTTCCCCCCTTTCCCGGTTAGTATCCTTTCCCCCGTTTCCCCTCTAAGGCCTTTTCCCCCCAAGATCTTCTCCCTTCTCCTCCCAAAGATCTTTCCCCCCCTTTCCCTGTTGAGATGCTTTCAAGGCCTTTTCAGATCTTCTCCCTTTTCCTCCCTAAAATATTTTCCCCCCCTTTCCCGTTTGAGATCCTTTCCCCCCATTCCCCCCTAGGGCCTTTTCCCCCCGAGAAAGATTACCCTTTTCCTCCCAAAGGTCTTTCCCCCCTGTCCCCCCTAAGGCCTTTTTTCCCCAGATCTTCTCCCTTTTCCTCCCTAAAATATTTTCCCCCCCTTTCCCAGTTCAGATCCTTTCCCCCCTTTCCCCCCTAAGGCCTTTCCCCCCGCTGAGATCTTCTCCCTTTTCCTCCCTAAGATCCCCCTTCCCCCTAAGGCCTTTCCAGATCTTCTCCCTTTTCCTCCCAAAGATCTTTTCCCCCCTTCCCCCCTAACACCTTTCCCCCCCTGAGAGCTTCTCCCTTTTCCTCCCTAAGATCTTTTCCCCCCTTTCCCTGTTGGCCTTTTTTCCCCCCAGATCGTCTCCCTTTCCTGCATAAGATCTTTTCCACCGCTTTCCCTGTTGAGATAAGTTCTCCCCTTTCCCCCCTAAGGCCTTTTCCCCCCAGATCTTGTCCCTTTCCTCCCTAAGATCTTTCCCCCCTTTCCCTGTTGAGATCCCTTTCCCCCTTTCCCCCTACGGCCTTTCCCCCCCTGAGATCTTCTCCCTTTTCCTCCCTAAGATCTTTCCCCCCCTTTCCCCCCTAGGCCTTTTCCCCCCAAGATCTTCTCCCTTTTCCTCCCTAAGATGTTTTCCCCCCTTTCCCTGTGGAGATCCTTTCCCCCCTTTCCCCCCTAAGGCCTTTCCCGCCCTGAGATCTTCTCCCTTTTCCTCCCCAAGATCTTTTCCCCCGGTTGAGATCCTTTCCCCCTTTCCCCCCAAGATCTTCTCCCTTTTCCTCCCTAGGATCTTTTCTCCCTTTCCCTGTTGAGATCCTTTCCCCCCCTGTCCCCCCTCAGGCCTTTTCAGATCTTCTCCCTTTTCCTCCCAAAAATATTTAGCCCCCTTTCTCTTTCCCCCTTTCCCCCCTAAGGCCTTCCCCCCCTGAGATCTTAAGGCCTTTTCTCCCCCTGAGATCTTTTCCCTTTTCCTCCCGAAGATCCTTCCCCTCTTTTCCGGTTGTGTTCCTTTCCCCCCTTTCCCCCCTAAGGCCTTTTCCCCCCACATCTTCTCCCTTTCCTTCCTAAGATCTTTCCCCCCCTTTTCCTGTTAAGATCCTTTCCCCCTTTCCCCCCTAAGGCCTTTCCCCCCCTGAGATCTTCTCCCTTTTCCTCCCTAAGATCTTTTGCAACCTTTCCCTGTTGAGATCCTTTCCCCCGCTGAGTTCTTTCCCCCTTTCGCGGTTGAGATCCTTTCTTCCCTTTCCCTCCTGAGGCCAGGATCTCTCCCTTCCCCCCTGTGTTGCTTTTTGTTGCACATTGACCTATTCACACACTCCGCTGACATGATGGCTCAAGGCCCTTCAAGTCATTTGTACAGTCATTCGACTCATGGTACATTGATAAAAAGGCTTGCAGACCGCTTCACAGGATTCACAGTCAACACAAGCCACCAGGGACAATCCATCCTCCAATCCTCCATATTGGCATATTGGACTCTCTCCGGAATAGATCCAGGGACCAAATCAACGACCTCTACTACCACAGGGTGCCAGTTCCCTTCTGGGATAGGCACCCCGGCAGTGGGCCTCAATTTGTGGTAGCGGAGCGGGTTTTCTGCAGAGATCCAAGGGAAGATGTCATCCGATGGAGAAGGCTTCATGGAAGCCTATTCAAGTATGGCCAAACCATCAGGCTATACGGAGGAAACACTCAATTTATCGATGACCGCCAAGCAGCCATCGTACGACGGAAAAGTCAGCTGGTTTAGGTGTGAAGAACTCGTGGACGACTGGGTGACAATCACTACGGTGGAAGCACCCAAGAGAGGACCTCTGCTCAAGAGCCGACTCACAGGAGATGCCTATATGTACAAGGCAGTCCTCCAAAATGACCTTTTGCAAGATCCTGATGAAGGAGTCAACTACTTCAAGAACACGCTGAAGAAGTACTTTTTGAAAGGTGCGACCAACGTGTATCTGTACAGGCTCCTCAGTTTCTTCAATCATAGAAGGCAGAACCAAGGCTCCTCATTTTTACCTCAAAATTCGAAATCCTTCTCATGAGATTGAAGGCAGCACGGATGGACTTGATGCCCGTTTTCACGGCACAGTCCCCATCATTTCGACAGTCCGTACAGGACGCAAATGCAAGAACAATTGCTCGACATCAGCAAGCAGCTGGTACTCGAGTACCGCCTCCAGTCCTGCTCGATGAGGGTGATCCAACAGTCCTCAGACAGTATATCACGGGAATGCAGGACAGACAGCGGGACGCATTTCCCTTCGGGGATAATCTCATTGCGCAGTTTTTCAATATTCAAAGTGAATTGTCAGACCAGCAGAGAGAAAGACTGACCAGTGCAATGTCACTGAGAAACATTTCACTAGAGAACTACTCCTATGAGATGCTGAAGACGCATTACCATGAGCTCTTCATCACGACCCGGACATCCATTCAAGATCCATCCATCCGACCTCAGGGAGGCAACCGAAGCAATACATTCTTCATCATCGAACAAGGTGAATACGAAGGAGAAGAAGGCTTTTGGGTTGAGGATGAAGAAGGACTTGAAGGATTCATGTCAAACAACGATGAAGAGACATTCTGGGTCCTCGAGGAGAACGCTGCGTTCATGATCCCTACGACCAGGCATATTGGGGAAAAGGCAAAGGAAAGAAGGGAAAGAAAGGAAAATCGAAATTCCAATATCCCTATGATGGAAACAAGGGTTATCCATCCTATGAGAATGGCAAGGGAAAGGGCGGACAGGAGAAAGGAAAATCCAAGACGTTCGCAGCCACCGCAGAGAAGACGGAGGAGCAGCCCGCCATCCAGCAGACTGCACCATCCATAGAGCCTACCTATGCCGGTTGGACAGACCAAGATTGGGATCAATCATGGACATGGAACGAACAAGGCTGGTACTCATCCCATGAAACATCCAGCGCAGGACAAGCGCTAATGGCATTCCATGACGCATATGAGCATCGTGAGAAAGAGGCCATCCACGGGAAGCTGATCCAATCAGATGCAGTTTCAGAACACAATTTGTCCATGACAACAAATCACAGCCTTTTGGCAACAAAGCTGATGGCGCCTGTCATCAACCCTCAGCACAATCCGACCTATGCGATCCTGGACAATGGATGTACCAGATCCATGGGCAGCTGGCATGCAATCCAGCGTTTTACTCAGGCCATCGAACCCATGAAGGACATCATCTCCTATCAGTACATCTCGGCCGAGACCAAGTTCACCTTTGCAAACGGAGAGACCGCCAAAGTAAATTGGACCCTGCATCTTCGATATCACACAACTCCTCCATGCAGTACCAACATCGACGTCCTTGAACAAGGAACTGTACGGATCCTCCTCAGCATCAGTCAGATGCGGAACCTCTACATGACCATCAAGCACACACCTCAATGTGACAAGATCACATGCAAGGCCTTTGGCATGAACCGTCAAGCAGTTCCAGTATCCGGTACAGGACATGCGAAATTGCTCACAAGGGCCTCACCAACTACGTCTACGATGATGACAACAGCATCAAGTTTCCCTCCGGGGATATCTCCAAGAGTGAAACTGTTTGTGCAGCAAAATCATCCGAGACGAAGGAGGACCTAGCAAATCCTAAAATCATTGGGTCTCAAAAGCAGGACCATTGGATCCTTGATAAGAAGAACAAACAGCTCATCCGTGTGCGCATCACGCCTCGCAAGGCGCTGTTCACACCAAATGGAGCCAAGGAGTGTCCAATCAATCCTGATAACATCAGCCGAGAGCGTACTACGGAAATCATTGATGCATCCGAAGGTGGAGATCCAGACATCCTAGAAGACAATTGGAGACTTACATCCCAGGCAAACAAACCAATGATTAACTTGTGGATAGGTAAGACCATTTTCACCTTCGCGGACAATTCGCTTAAGGACGAAGAAGCAGGCTCAGGATCGGCAGCAGACAGGATCATCGACAAGAAGGGCCGGTCGACCATTGAGCCAGATCCTTTCGCACCATCCTCAGAAGAGCCAACGACGCTTCCGCTTGCACTAGGAAGAATCCACAAGCGATTGTCAAACCCCGAAGAGTTGAAGAAGC